CCTAATACCCCCCCCCCCCCCCAGCTTCCTTGTAGCCCCTTCAGGTACTGGAAGGTGCTATAAGATCTTCTCAGAACCTTCTCTTCTCCAGGCTGAACAAGCCCAACTCTCTCACGGTGTCACCATAGGAAAGGTGTTCCATCCCTCTGATCACCGTTGTGGCCCTTGTCTGGACCTGCTCCAACAGGTCCATGTCTTTCCTGTGCTGAGGCCTCCAGAGCTGGACACAGTACTGCAGGTGGGGTCTCCCAAGAGCAGAGAAGAGATGGAGAATCACCTCCCTCAACCTGCTGACCATGCTTCTTTTGATGCAACCCAGGATATGGTTGGATTTCTGGGCTTGAGTGCATTTTGCTGGGTTATGTCCAGCTTTTCATCCACCAGTATCCCCCTTGGCAGGGCTACTCTCAATCCATTCGTCCCCCAGCCTGTATTGATACCAGGATTGCCCCAATCCATGTGCAGGACCTTGCACTTGGCCTTGTTGAATCTCTTGAGGTTCACATGGGGCCCACTTCTTCAACTTGTCCAGGTCCCTCTAGATGGCATCCTGTCCCAGAGGCGTGTCAACCACACCACCCAGTTTGGTATTGCCTGCAAACTTGCTGAGGATGCACTTGATTCCACTGTTTGTCATGAAGGTATTAAACAGTACTGGTCCCAGTACAGACCTGAGGACAATACTTGTCACTGGTCTCCATCTGGACATTGAGACCCTATGGATGTGACCATCCAACCAATTTCTCATCCACTGAACTGTCCTCCCATCAAATCCATATCTCCAGTTTAGAGAGAGGGATGTTGTGGGGGACCATGTCAAAGGCCCTTTATAAGTTCAGCTAGATGACACCTGTAGCTCGTCCCTTGTCCACTGTTGTAGTCATTTCGACATAGAAGGTAATTTTAAGTATTAAAATACTTGATTACAAGAATTCAGAGAGACTCTTGTTACCAATTGTGATTTTAAGTTTTTTGTATGTGTCACTGGAACATAGAACTCAGTGTCTGTTCCTTACAGTTGGAAAGACAGATAGAGTGAGAAGCTGCAATGCAAAAGGCTTTTTTTTTTGACATCCCACTACCGTCATCATTAGCTGTAACTACATGCTTTGATCTTCCATAACAAATTAAAACACAGTTGAACCTTTGAAAGTACTTAAATAAACAGAAGATTGGAAGGGAAGATACGGGATCACCATATGCTAAAGATAACAGAAGTGTGACTCAAATACTGAAGGAGTGTTTTGCCTTATTTTTCAATAAGGTTGATGAGAGCAGTATCAAGTAAAGAAGGAAACAGTATTAATTTTTATGTTTTAAATAGAAGCAAAGCTTGAATTGCTTAACAAGACAAAATCAGATATCCATATGAGCTAGTCTTAAAATATTTAATGAAGTGGTGCATGAAATTCTAAATACTGGGGATATTTGGTTGAACTATAGGTAGAATAGTGCCCTAAAATACTGGAGAACAGCAATTATCGTCTGTGTTTACATAAACGCAAATAATAATGCAGACAATGACAGACTGTTGACATGATATTAAGGCTCTGTGAAGTCTTAGGAAGTTATTTCAAGGTGAAAAAATTAAGAATGTGAAAGAAGATATATAGCGACTGTGTAGTAATGTCAATTATCTCCTTATTTGGAAAAAGATCATGTATTGTACTATGGTAGGTACGATGGATCAGGTTCTTGTACTTCCCCTATGAGAGCAGCATGGCTTGGCATCCATCTCAAGCTTTTGCATACAAATGCACACGACAGAAAACAAACAAGAAGAATTGGCTATCCTTACACAGCTGTAGAGTATGATCTTGCGATTATAGGGGTGTGGTGGGATACACTACATAACTGGTGTGCTGCAACTGTAAAAGATGCTCTATCCTTATCAGATGCAAGGGAGATGTGCTTGGGGATACGAGGGTGGATGGCAGCCTTGTCTGCAGCAACTACGAGATTGTGAGGTATAAATGACAGAAGTGATTTTTGGATTGGGGTGGGTGAGTGAATGAATTGATAAGATAGTTGGTTAGTTGGGGAGAGTAGGTTAATTGATAAAGGGCATTTGGGTTTTTGTTCTCTTTAATTCTTCTGCCACCCTCTAGGGTGAGAATATTAGAAAATACCTGATTTTGTGAGAAGGGTGGTGATGTTGATACTGACTCACCTGTTCTCTTTCTTTACTGCTGTAATTGGGACTGGGCTTTTCATAAAGGTTTCAGCTTTGTTACATGTGACCTCCCCCCACATCTTTTCTCAGTCTCATGTAAATAACCTTTTTTAGAAGAGTTAACTCTTGATGGTAAAGTTGTGTTGATTTTGGAAGGATAGAGGTTTTTTGGTAAGGACAAGGCCTGTAAAAATCTAGATGAATAGAGGTAGTAAGCAGATCATACATTGAAATAACTCCTTATCATGAAGCGTATAGATAAAGCATCTGAAAGGCATTGGACAGTCAGAGAACTGGAGTATGTAGTGACAGGATTGTGTGTAGTTAAGACGATGGTGCAGAATTCAGAGTAACAGTGATCTGAGGTTATTTTCTGTTAAAATAAAACTAGCATGTTGCATATCGTGTGTTGTATAATATTCACTAGCTCAGGACATATTTATTAGTTTGAAGATGGGGAGGGAGTGGACAAGAACTCCAGTGTTATTTGAATAAAGTTATTTTGTCTTCTTTTCATTCATAATGAAATATGCTCTTGAGGGATGCTGCCATGTCATGTGTCTTACGACAGAATTGAAACTGCTTTGTTAACTTGACTGTATGGGTTTTTTTCTCCTTTCCCTTATTGTTTTCTGCTACCTCATGAAGGAGGCCTACTTCTTTAATTGTGGAGACAATCTGAGTGCAAAAGGGATGACATACCTTACGAATTCACTATTTGATTACAGAAGTCCAGAAAATAATAGTATTCGGGCAGAGTTTATATTGGATGCAGCTCATCATAAGGTCAGAAAATTACATTTTTCTTAGAAAAAAAACTTTCTCATGCTTTCTAATGAATTTCTAGTGCTAATTTAAAACTGTGCACCATTATAGGACTGATTTTCATTACTTTGTCATGTTTAACTGAATCTTACTTTGCAGATAGCTGAAAAAAAATTTAAACCTGTTTATGTTTAAAAAAAAAATAAATTACAAAAACATGTCCAAAAGAAACCTCAAACTGCTTCTGCTGAAAAAGCTGAGTTAGTGCCATAGTTTCCAAAAGCACTAACTACAGAACACCTGCAGAGAAAAACAGAACTATGAAAGAATGCTAGCAAAAGATCAAGCTTTACCAGCACATACTACTTTAAATCCAACCAATAAGTAGTTCACTGTCTTGAAACTAATAAGTGCTCTCTTGGAAACCAGCTCCTTGCCAATATTAATTTTGTTGTCTGTGTGCTGTGTTTGTCTGCTTAGAGGAAGTCTTGCTAATTCTGCCTTTGGTAGAGACAAATTTTCATTCACTGAAAGGTGAAAACAAAGTAAAAAAAAAAAAAAAAAATTAAATAAAAATAAAGTGAAACTTTATTCCCTGATTGTCTGAAATTTTTAAAGACTGGCTGTGATCATAAAGACTGTCCCTTCCAGGTGTGTTCATAGGTGGGGGTGTATGATTTGTTAGTGCACAGGTAAGCCATTTACAATTTTGAATGTATCTTTCTTTTAAATTTAATTTTCACTAGTTTCACCTTTAGTAGTACCACTGATGAAACAGTGTAACCCTGAAGAATCCCACAGGAAATGAAATTAATTAGTGAAATTACTACTACTTAAATGTATTCAAACATTTCCCATACTGTGTTTTAGTTTTAAGTTTTACTTTTTCCTTAGCCTGTCTTCTGTGATTTGCCTATCTTTTGTCAAGAGGGGAAGCAAACTTGCTGTGTAATTGTGGATTATATTTATGCATAAATCCCAATGATGGCATAAAGTCTTAAGAAGTTTCCTACTGTGTGAAGAATAAATCACAATATTTCTTAAATAAAAAAAGCAGAATGAATGAGCTTCAGTTTTCAATGTATTTAATTAGGCAGATCTGTTGGATGCAAGAGGTCAAGTGAAGAATATTTACTCCATTAAAGTTACCAATTAACTGGTTGTTATTGATGAACTGGTCAGCATGTCCACTGGAATTATGGATGTGCCTTTGTGTGGCCTCTAATAGAAGTTACATTACCTATCGGAAAGGTGAATTCCTTGGGATAACCTTTGTCCTTTGTTTTGATAAGCCTTTCCGTGTGTTGATGCACAAATCCAAACATGAATATATCTCTCTCATACCAACCTATCAGTTGGTAATCTCAAGATTCTTTCCTTATACAACATTTCCTTTGTTGGCTTTGCTTTGTTGGTAGGAGACGTACACAGAGATAGCTGGAATGCAGAGGTTTGGGGCTTTCTACATGGATTACTTGTACACAATGGAAAGCACGAGTGGCAAAGGTACCTTTTTGCTTTTGTTTACCCTGTTAAATAATAGAAATGAAGGTTTTCGTGCCTAGCTGGTCCTTGACCAACTGTCCTCTAACTTACCTTAGGTTTACCATCAGGTTCATCGTTAAAATGCTTTCATCTTCATTAATGTATTTGAGATTGTTTTGGTTAGCTGTTGATTCTTGGTGTTTCTCCTTTTTTCCCTGCATAAGTAATCAAAATGATATCTTTTATAGTCAATTACTAAACTGAAAATAATTCCCTTTTAACAGTGAAGTTCATGAAGTATGATGTCTTTGTTTTTTTTTAACTTACTGTTACTGACTTCTGGGGGGAAAAAAAGTCTTTTGCGAAACCTTGGTTGAAGAATGAAGTTGATCATCTGCTTGGTGCACAGGATGGAGTGTCATTTTCTCCTATGAAGAAAAATGCAAGGATAAAAATGTGGAGAATTCATCTTTAAATACACATATTTGGACAATTTTGTGACCAAATACTGACCTAAACCATTCACACATAGATATTGGGTAATTCTGAGTAATTTGAGATTCCTGTCAGTTATTTTCTTAATCTGAGACAATACAGTGAATTGAGTGTAGTAAGTATATCTATTTTTATGAGTGTCACAAAAGCCAGGACTAAGGAGTTTATGTATCAGCAAGTATTATGTTTATGTGTTTTTACAGATATTCTTGTCATGAACTGCGATGTAATTTCTCCCCACCCCTGGGAGGATTGTCATCTACAGTTGCTGTTCTGCAGTTTTGTTTTATTTATTTTATTGCCTAAATAATGCTTTCTTCCCCACCTGTGTATTTATTACCATGAACACTATTTCTGTGGACATCTGTTTGGACCTTCATACTGTTTTCATTTGTCCTTGCTACCTAGTCCAACTCATCTGTTCTTTTTGGCACATTTTTGTCCCTGTAAGAGAAGTCTTAACTCCTAACATTATTGTTTTCTGGACTCGTTAGACATTATAAAAGGAGTAGGAAAGAAAAACTTCCAGTTTGCTTAGAGGATGGATCATGCAAAACTTATAAAAATAAATAAATGATAGTATTGTTTTCGATAGTAGAGGGATACACTAGGCAATTTATCAGTTTTTTTCTGGGCCCTGAGCCTTTCCTCCCTGTACTATGAGTGTGATGTGAAGCTTAGAAAATGTATTTTAAGTCAAGCTTCTACTGCAGTCTGCTTCTGGTTTTAATAAAGAAATAACAGTTTAATTGCATGCAGAATATTCATGTAGAGAAGTTGGAAGGCCTAGGGTGAGCTTACCTCCTTTTTGAATTTTGGTATAGAACCTTAAATAATATTGGATTATGAGGAAAAATTGATTTTATGGAGTACTTTGTCTTGTTTCTCTGAATGCACAAGGAATTTAATGACTTCCCTTTTTCTGACTGTAACCCTTTTCAGAAATTGTTGAACTCGGATGTATATATGTGTGTATAATTTTTTACTCAAGGCCAGGCTACTGGTATTTCTGAATACCTTTTCCCCTCCTCAGCTTCTTTTATTTCTTTCAGTTTGCTTTCTCAGTGCCTTGGCTTTTATTTTCTGCATCAGTCACCAGGAAAACACCTCACAAAATGTAGCTTGGCTTCCTATGAAGCCTTGCTCTGTGCTTTTATTTCAGTATTGATTCTCTGATATTAGCTACCTGACTACATAAAAGAATGAATAATTAATTGTTAAATTAATAGTTGAAATAGTTGCTATAGCTTTAGAATCAAGAACTTAAATTTTCAAATAGTTTTCTTCCTCAGAAAAGCAAATGTGACGTTTTCTGCTAGTTAATTTCTAGCTAATTTTTCCATATTGTGAGTCAAGTATGTAATTATTACATAGAATGTGAACAAATAGGTGTAAATTATTTCATTTCAAATAAATACTTCAAGATTTTGAAAACAATATAAATGTTGCTACATTTTAAATATATGGTATTTATATGAAAGTATTTTACTATGTCTTGTCTTGACACCATTAACTATGGTTTTATGTACAATCAGTGCACACCACCTTCCTCTAAAAAAACTAACCCAACTTAAGTTAGAGGAGGCATTTACTGTGATTGTAAGATTTTTGTCTGTTGAGACAATTTTCGTTTGACACCTTCTTTGCCCTTTTAACCTTTCCAAAGCATACGATTACTGATTAAACTGCAAATATCTCATGGATAACATTAACCTCAGGAGTTTCATCTGTCACTTGTAGAAGTGCATTAATAATTTCTAGTATTTTGAATGAAAACAAGGTAGGTAGTCATGCACAGTATTGTTATTTTGAAATTCTGACTGTTCTTCCCTTCCATTTTTTCTTTTTTTTTTGTTTTGTATTTCAGTGCAAAGTAGTAATTTCCTTGAAACATCATATAGCCTAGCAGTTCCCTGATCACTGATTTGTATGACCTATAGACCTAACAGGGTGTACTTTTGAGGTGGTTTTATTTATACTGGGTACCTCTGTATTTTGATGGGAAGCTTATTATGCAGCACTCTCATTTTAAGACTTTTTTTTTTGTCAGTTAGAATCAGACATATGGTTTACGGAGAGCTGAACAGTCGTGATCAGAAATTACCTACCTTTATGCATCTGCAAATTTTCAAAAATAACCTGTGATCACCTACTTTTTAGTAGCAGTAGGCTTTCTATCACATTCTTTTTGAGCGTAGTTAGAGTTACATGGAACTACTCCAGAAAGCGGTTTGTATACATGCTGTCACTTCAGTATATTATTAATATGCATACAGTATATATGAGTGAATGAGGATTTTTTCTTTTCCTTTTTGAAAAGGTAGGATGTTATTACTTCTAAAGGCTTTTGGCCTTAATATTTTTTTTTATGAGGTTACAGTATTTTACAGTTCCTAATAGTGTTCATCTGAACTGGATACTGTGTAGAATTGGAAGGACTGTGTATTAAAAAAAGCATATCCTGACAGCAGGTTGTATGCTGGTGTGTGGGTTTTTTTTTTTTTTTTTAAAGTCTTCTTCAGGATTTATTGAAAAGCTTGTAACTTCAGTTCCATCTGTAGATTCGAATAGACCTTGTAAAGTAGTATATTTGTCCTCTTTTTTTTTTCTTTTTTTTTTTTTTAATTCTTCTCAGAAATGGTGAACAAAACACCAGGGGAGCAGAGACTGTAAATCTATAAATGCTCTCACCATCAACTTCTGTTGGGCTTTTGGGGACAAAGTTAATTCTGCTGCTGAGTATATAGGCCTGTAAAGGCCTGCAGAGCATTAGGCCAGCTCAGTGTCAAATTCTGCATATCTCTGTTTATTTGGGGACATTTTCCTCACCAGTGCTTAGAAGCAAAAACATTTTATAGACTATAATTTAAACATAAGGGAAAAAAACCCCTATCCTCCCTTCCTTTTCCCCAAAGCTTACTTCCCCCATTAAAAAGACTGTTTAGAATCAGCACATTAAAGGAGGGAGAGAAAAGGAAGTGGAGGGTGAAAGATGATGAGGTTCCTCTGAGGCAACCAGAAATAAAACATGCTTTCTTCCAGTTGTTTTCCCTTGAAGCTGTGAAGCATACCATGCCAGGCTGCTTAGCCATGCAGCTACTCATAAGCTGACAGATCCTACATCTCTTTCACAAAGTGGGTGGGTCAGCGCTCTGCAGCAGCTGCAGTTCCCACTGCCCAGCCTGATGAGCTGAGCTGGTCTTGCCACTTCTGTTAGGACGGACAGATTGTGTCGGTGAGGAAGATGGTATAACAAAAGGTTGGAATTGTCAGATTTTCCTGTGGTTTTGGGTTGTAGTTCTCTACAGGTGCCTTTAGTTTGTGACTAACAGAAAGGCAGAAGCTTGAGATTTATACAAGGAAAGAGGTTGATTTACATCCAGGCAGATGGGTGAAAAGAGGAAGGAATGGGATCTTTCATTGAGTAGGTGTGCAAGATTCACAATGGATGAGAGTTTGGAAACTTGGAAAATATTACTGATGAGAAGGCTCATCAGGGAAGTCCATCACTCACACGGCCTTTGGTTTCTGGGCATGACTTGATGAAGGAGAACATATCAAATTAACAGCTCTGCAGTTGCAGGTGTGTTAAATTGTGGAAACCAAGGTGAAATTGATGACAGCGGCTGTGCGTTTCCCAGCTTTCCTATTTGTCACGGCTTTGACCAGGTGGATTATGGAGTACTATGCTGTCTAAGGAGTACGTGCTGTCCAGATTCACTGAATGAATTCAACTGTCATCCTACAACTGCTGGTCTCAGGAGCCATTCAGTCTTGATGCTTATTTTAGCAGACCGTTCATTTGTGTAATGGTTAGCAAGATGTTTAATGTTTAGTGCTTGTGTCAAAGCAATGAGGACACTGTCAAAGTGAGGATTTAGTAGAAAAAAGGGAGAAATTCTGCAAACTAAGTATGTTAGAGGGATAAAGTGGGTTGGGTTTTTTTTTTTTTTGCAAGTCATATGTAACAGGAAAACTTAAGCTTCAGAAATTTGCATAGTTTAACTGAAGAATTTCCATTATGTTTAGAGAAATGGAGTCATGCTGTTTGGTAGCTGATAAGTAGCCTGTACGCAGTGAACGTGTGATCTTGGTCTAACTCAAAACCCTATATCTGTATCAGTAAAATGATAACTGTACTTTGGCACACTAGTTCTGTTCTGAGCACAAAGGTTATAAATCTCTGTGGCAGACCTTCTAAAAACGGTCTGAGGCATAATGGTTAAAGAAGTTTTCATTCTGGCTGCCCATGCTTTACCACAACAGTGAATGGAAGAGAGGGTCAGTCTGTTTCTGACGATACAAGTGGGTGATTCTCATTGCTGTTCTAGCCCATGTACCAGCAGCTAGCATGTCAAGGGTCCATATCTGTAGTTTCTTTGCAGCACACCGTTTCCTTGATTGTTTGGGATAGAAATCTTTGTGGTAAACTGCAGAAAGTTTTGAACAACACAGTTGTCACTGGCAACTGGGCTTAAGTTGGTAAAGAAGTTTGGAGATTGTTTGGACACCTTCGGAGAGTCTCAAGCTTGAGAGATACAAGGTTAATGGAAAGGGTTGTTAAGTTGTGCTGTGCTTGGATGCAAGGCAGAATCTTGCCCTATTTGCTCTTCATTAAACAGGAATAAAGTTTCTTTAAACATGTTAAACCAGTCGCAGTATATTTGTGTTCCATTCATTTTATTTTCTGTATATTTAGAAGTCTATGATCACAGGATTTGAAACAAAATTAGCTGATAAATCTTATTATGTCCAATTGTTTGGCATAATAATTTGTTATTTATAATACTTCTTGTAGTTTCTGGAAATCAGCAAGACCTTTCTTCAGTTAAGAGTGAAGATTTTGGACATGTTCAGGAGATGTCTACAAAAAACCTCATTGTGGGCCCACTCAATCTTCGACTGGACAGCAGTGCGGTACACCGGATAATGAAAATGATAGTGTGCGCTCTGGAACATGAATATGAGCCGTACAGCAGAACTAAGCCAGGTTTGCTCCTATTGCGTACACATGAATATACAGAATTAAACCAGACCAAATTCAGTTCTCTTGAAGGTGCAACTTCCAAATAGTTAAAGTCCAAATCTGTCAAGGGATTTTGTGTCCAAAGAACAAAAATTAAAATAAAGATAAAATCAATCGCAGTATTCCCATCAGTGTTGGATATACCTCTGAGATAATTTCGGGCACTTCGGAGTCCATTAGAATCATATACCTCTAGCTGAGTACGGAAGGCTTATTTCACTGACAACTCTAGATTAATTTTGAGGTCTTGGAGAACAAAATATCCCTGTTGGTATGTATTTATTAATTTGAAATATGGAAACAAGCTAAGGTAAATTGTTAAGATGAGTTTCTGAGACAGAGCTGTACAGATTTCAAAGTAAGGAAGAGCCAGTTACGCTTGCATTTACGTAAAGGTGGAACCATTGTGGAATAAAATTGTTAAATATGAAAGGGAGTTGGGAAAAAGTTTTCAGTGTTTTACTAGTCCCTAACCATTTCTGAAACAGTGAGTGAAGGGAATAGTTATATATTTTAGTTAAACAACTGGAATCTTGGTCTATTGTAGATGTTACGGATGGAAATAGAACTATGCCAAGCTCAGAAGAAGTAGCATCGTTAGAGGAATACATTCCCACTCGGCTTACAACGTTCACTGTTCTGAAGTGTACAATTATAATCCCTGTGGCAGAATTCAATTTACTAGACCACTTGATGCCCGTAATCATGGGTGAGAAGGTATGTATGCACAGACATTTATTTAGCTCTTTAGATGAGCATGTGCTATTTCACATAAATTTGCTCATTGGGCTGTTATTCCATGTGCTGGATGTATTACTGAGTTCCAAATGAGTTTGGTGCCCATGAACCTTCAGTTCAGCTCTCTAAGACAATTAGTGTGTGTGCAGTGATTAGTTCGCTAGTTCACAGATTCACCTTACGGAAATGGGCAGATGGTATTTTTAAAATGCGTGAACAGCCCTGTATTTATTGTAGGTTTGAGGCAAACAAGTTGAATTCAAGTGAACTTACTTTTTTTTAAATTAGAGTTTCAATTTGCTCTCTCTGCTTCAATCCAAACCTATTAAAAATAAGAATAATTCTGACTTTTAGATTGCGAGTCATATGTAAATAAACTTACTGTCCTGTTTTTATACACATAGGATAATTTTTAGATTCGGAGAGTAATTTGGATTAGAAGAGATCTCTGGAGAAGATCTCTAGGAGTCCCACATC